AGAAAGAAATTATGAATAAAACTTACCAGTTAAAATCACACCAAAGTCTGGAGAACAGCCACAGGTGGTAGACAAAACCCCAACAAAGAGGAAAGTGTGATATGATGAAGATAGTGGGAGATGAACATACTGGGAGTGGACCACGTGCTGGATTGTATAATCTCCTCCATTGGATGATGAAGATGAGAAGCGAGGGAAAAAAGTGAGATGTCGGACCTGATGGGAGGAAACCTGGAACAAGGTACAGGAGGAAGAAGGTAGGTTGAACAAATCAAAAGGTGAACCAAATAAGTAATGGAAGAAGGGAGGTGGTTTGCCATAGGATAAAACGTCACATGACAACAAAGAGCCCTGACTGGACACAGAAGCCTATCCGGGTCTGATTGAGGGTAAAGATGGGATATAAAAGGAAGGGAAACAGGAGAAAAAGATGAACAACTCTCCCAAGCTGCCGAGGTCTTAGAGAGAAAGGAAAAATCGGGATAAAGGAGAAGATGGGTAGGGTGGTAAAGGGTACATGAAACGTCAATGGCATACAAATCTGACCTTCGACATCTACAGGCTAAGAGGAAGAGAAAATATATTTTAAAGGACATATGAAACATGGAACACAAGGATAGTGGTTCAAACAGAGGTAAAGTAAGGGCATGGAGGACCATATTAATGTCCCAATCCAGAAGGGTTGGATGTCTGGGAGATCAACTTATCCTGAAGGAACTGTAGAGCATGGTAAAAATAGGGGAAATAAAACCCTTACAGTATTGGAAAAAACAGAAGGTATGGGATAGGGCTGCCCGATATCTGAAAAGCTAGGAAAGTGAAGACCCACAGTCGAAGAGTCAGGTGAGAAATTCTGCCATACAAGCCCCAGAAGGCTTGTCAGCAGGAAATCCCCTGTCAGCAGACCAACAGCAAAACTCTTTCCACTTGCGTTGATATACTTCCGTGGAAGATGGTCATATGGAATGAGCTAACAAGTGACTCGATGTGTGAAATTGAATTGTCTCACCAAGGACTGGAAAAAAGCCATGTGTGAAGACATATTTGGTCAGGGCACGAAAGACAATCTGTGACTAGATTAAAAACATCCAGCACATGACCTGCGATAAGGTGAATGTGATGTGCATGGGCTTTGTATAATAGATCCAACATTCGAAAACATAGATCTATAGACTGGGTGCCCCCTTGGTGGTTGATATGGGCCACCACTGTAGAATTGTCTGAATGAACCATCACCACACAATGATGGGCGAAAAAAGGAAGTGATGTAACACCCGACATACTGCTAGAAGTTTGAAAACATTGATATACAAGATGGTTTCATCCACACATTAACAGCCTGAAGCTTCCTGGTAATTGACCCATGACTGCCATCCCTGAAGGGATGTGTCTGTAAAAGATGTAGATCTTGACGTGGGGGAGGAAGCAGCACATCTACCAATGTATGTGCTTTGTCCGGCCACCAATGAAGATCATCTCGCAGGGAAAGAAGGGAAATGGGGTTGGAAAGAGGATCCCGAGCAAGGTTCCATCATTCGTGAAGTGCCCACTGAAGGGATCTTATATGGGCATGACTGAGAGGGACCAGTGCAGTCGTGGAGGACCACATTCCCAAAAGCAATAGAACCTCACGAGCAGTAAGTGACTGAGCTGAGAGGACACGGTGAAACAAAAGTTCCACTGAATGAAGACATGAAGGAGAAGGCAGACAGCAACTGATATTTGTGTCGAAAAAGACTCCTAAATGGACTAGATATTGAGTTAGTGAAAGGAAGGGCTTCTCAAATTTGATCAAACAGCCCACCCGAGCTGCCACAGAAAGGAGTTGGTGAGTATAAGTGGCTGATTCCTGTTCGGATAGAGCCAGAAGGAGCCAGTTGTCCCTATAATAATGAAATCACATCCCGAGAGCATGGAGTGAATGTGCAAAAGCTCGAAATATGTGACATATAGGAGATAAGACAAGTCCAAATGGGATTGCCTGAAACTGGTAAACCACCCCGAGACGGACAAACAAAAGGTAAAGTCCAGATTGATGTGCTATCACAATGTGGAGGTAAGCATTGGAGACATTCATCTTTGCCATCCACCACCCTGGGGAAAACACCCATCTCAGAGTGAAAAAAGACTCCATGGTGAACTTGGGGAGTAAGACGAAGTGGTTGAGATGAGGCAAGATAAATCAATGAATGACCACCAATCCCTAGTTTTCTTAAGGACAACAAAAAGATGCTGATAGGTCCCAGGATTTTGAGGAGGAGGGAAGGAAATGGGGGAAGAACAACTGGGAAGTTGAGAAAAAATTGGATAACGAATCCTTCTGGCAGAGCCCATATCACCAATTGATCGTTGATGAAGGGACACCATCGAGAAAGAAACTCTAATAGCCGAGCTACCACCAGACCCAAACCTACAGGGTAGCCACCAGCACTGGTAGCAATGTGGGTTGTGTCATTGAAAAAATTGATGAGAAGTACCCCGATGAGAAAGATGGGTAAGGGTTGGAAGGATGGGAAATGGGAATAGGTGGCATATGAAGCTCTAACTGAGACAAAGGGGCAACAAAAGCCATAAGGGTTAACTGCTGGTGCTCTGATGTCATCTGAGGCTCGATAGTTTATGGGACAGTATCAAAGACATAATGTCTCAGAAAAGGTGAAAGACATAAATCCCTAAGATAGGTTGAGGGTAAATTGGCCTGAGCCAAAACTGCATTCCAACCTATAAGGTCCCAACAACAAAGAATCAAGTAGGTAACGCCAGAGCCAAAGGTGAAATGTGGGCTAAAGTGGAGGAGAGAAATGTAAGGGTATCTGCACAAAACCTCACAGGATTTCTGTGAAAAACCTCTGATAAGAGATGTATGGAAGAAAGATACGTAAGAGGGTGACTAGGGTAAGACACAGGCGAGAATATTGGGAATGGGTAAGACTAACATTAGATTTGGGAGCTGCCCCCCAATGAACCTAACAACTACTGATCTAAAAATGGATAGTCAGCAGGATGGTAAGAAAGGGTGAACTGATTAGAAGTCCTCAGGGGGCACAGCATGGTAATACCCTCATTTGATTGTGAGAGAAATTTATCTGCATGTACCTGAATATCAGGGGAGGGAGGATAAACCAAAAATAGTTGGAAAGCTTCTTCATGTAACAAGGAAGGACAATGGGAATAAGAGATAGGGGAAAGTAACAAAACCTCACAAACCTGAGACACAAAATCCGTAAAGACCGAATTGGCCTAGATAATTCTTTAGGCTGTAATTGGGAAGGAACAGCAAACTCGAGAGGTGGGAAAAGACAATAAAAGTCCTGGTAATTCTGAACAATTAACCATCTCAAGAGAAGCCTGGGTTGCATCAGGGGCAAAGGTTGACCCATGTAGTGCTCAATCTCCCAACGTATAAAAGCAAAAAGATCCACCGTCCGGTCACCCGAGAAAAACCACTGGTCATTGGTGTGACCTCCGAAGTGGTAACGTGAACTTTGGAATTCATAGCACAAGAAAAGGTTCACAAAAGTCGAGTGCAGAAATAAAGCAACAAGAAGGAACTGGTATAAAATAAATCAAGTTAAAAGCAACCACTCGTGTGAAAAAAAAAAAGTTTTTGTTTGTCACACTAGAAGCACTAGGCACACAAAAGAATATGTCTGAACTCAAACATTCCAAACGAGAAGTGAACGTTTGGTAGAGGAGCATAGAGGGAGTCACATGAGCATGTCATGCTACTATTGGTTAAGAGATGATGCATGAAGATTTACATGAGAAACATGTTGGAATATAGTAATTCCAACAGGGGGGAGCAGAAAGCTTCTGGCATGCATTAGGAAAAAAGTTTGCATATAGAGGACAGCACTGAACGATAATAGCTAATCTTGTGAGTAGAGGTAAGTATATCGGAATGTTGATTTGTTGACTTTTCACTGGATGTTTGTGAATCTTATGTGAACAACCATGCCTCATAACATCTACTTTTTTTAAAAAATTCTGGGGGGGGCATGCCCCCAGACCCCATAACATTAACATGCTTTGCATACTGATTATGTTTCTCACAATATGTGTTGGATTTTGATCTCACAAATTAGAAACTCCCTTTCAAACATTTTGTGTATGGGCCTGTATGTGACAAAATTAATCACAACCTGATAACTTTTGATGTGGCATGACAAAATACTGCAGACGTTTTTGTGGAAAACTTATAACACAAGGTCTGTAAGGATACTGACTACATAAATCTGCACAAAATAAGTAGTGCCTCTTTTGTTAGAATGAAAGTCGTTTTTCTTGGCACAAATTTTAGTTGTGAATATGACCTCATTCATAAAAAATGAAAGCTGAAATAATCACTTTTTTTTGTTACTTGAGTAAGGAAGCACATTATGCTAATACAGTAACAGGTAGGCAAATAACAATAACAAAACAGAATATATATGAAAAGCATTGCAGATTTTTTTTTGTTTTGTTTCTTTGAGTCAAATGAAAACTATTCACTGAGTATAACAGAAATACTCAGTCAATTTAATTTTTTAATAACATTTTACAATACCGAGGCTGAAACTCCAAAACAATTCTAGATGTATATATGATTAATACACTTGAAGTTAAAAATTATGATATAAATAACTTAAAAACCTTTAAACATTTTTAACCCTTTGTTTATTATTGAGATTACATTATAGACAGCCAGTTTCTACAACAGGTTATATGGATAAACAATGATACAATACCTTACAGTAATTAACTAAAATTTAATCATTAGGTTTTTATTTACACACATCAGAAACATATTATTTAAAATAACCAAGAAATATAAACATAAACCATATCTGAAACATATGTTTGTTTGATATCTTACTAACAGGATGGTTAAAAAGTCCACCTATACCATTAATCTACATTTTCAAGAGTGATAAAACCATGAATTCTACATAGTTTAATTTTCATTTTGTTTTGTTGTTTTTGAATAAGAAGCATTTTTTTAGTTGCATTAAAAAAATAACCTTTCTCTAAAAAGACTTTGCTGAAAGCATCTGTAATCTTTGTTCGTGTCCACAACCCATTCTTCTTGGCATAAAACAGCTGGCACAAGTACACGAGGTTATATAACAGATGTGTTCTATATGAAAAGAAACACATTTTCACTAATTATACAATGTTAAACTGCTATTATTTAGATTAGTTATTTTATAGAAAATAATATAATCCCTTACACATTTCTAAAGCAGATTTGATCGACATCATCAAATACAAAATAAAGGTGACAGAAAAATGAAATTATAGCTTTAAATAAAAATCTAGCCATAACTAAATGTATATTTCTTTGATATGAAGTTACATGCTTCTCAATGTTACTAAATGACTATACAAAGAAACTTTTACTCCTAATATGAAATTAAAAGAAAGTTCCACTAAACATTTTTCAACATGTTTCAAAACACCAACTACTAGTGAAACAGTACTACAAAAATTCCAAAAGTTATGAAAAGTCAGCAGGAAATTAAAACTTGTGACTAAACTTATTGATAGTTAGGCTTTGATAGATGTGATACCAGAATAGATACATATATTGTCAAATAGTATTATGTCCAAAAGAGATTAATGTATGATATATATATATTCAAGTATATAAATTGATATTTAAGTAAAAAAAGTGAAACATATATATATATATTTATTTGAGTACAACAATTGTTGATAAAAAACATTTAATAACACACAAAATTTTTTAAATGACCATTCCTAGTTTCAAAATACAATAAAAATCTTATTCAATAATCTACTGTATCACAATAAGACTGTGAAGACCGTAAAGTTGTTTCAAGACAGTAGTCATTTTTAGCTGTTAAAGTAATTCAGTCCAGGTATTTTTTATTTGTTTCAGCCATGAAGTGGTACAAATAAGCATATTTTTTATATAAGTGTAATGCAGTTAGCATCATTTGTAAATGTGGCCTATAAGTTCCATAGTGTTCAAGCTGATAAAAATGTTAAGAAAAAATAAACTAAATTATCACTTAAGTGGAATATATTTTGAATTATTTTCACCATACAATTCATAATAACCTGCCAACAATAGAACAACATTAAAACACTATATATATATATATATATATATATATATATATGCACAACACACACACACATATAGTAGACATAGTTAGGTTAAGTTTACTTACGAAACGTAATTAGTAGGTAAGTAAGTCTCCACAATAAGTAAGGTAGGTAGTAGTTAGGTAGG